CTGGAGCAGAAGAGCTGCAGGGCTATCCAGTGTTTGGATTATGAGGCCACTTGGATATACAGGTAGTGTAAACACCTATCAGGCTTCCTTGTTTTGAATTTTCACTATTTGGCTGCAAAACCCAGCTGAAGGACAAAGACATCATCCAGCCACACTAGATCAATGCCGAGCTGATAAAGGAGTAAGCCCCCAGACTGAAGGCCAAACTGTCCAATACAGCACCTTTATTTTGCTTCCAGACTGAATTTTCTGAGACCATCTACAGCCAGTTTTCTCCCAGAAACTTTTTCTTTCAGCTGTAAAGAAAGTCTTTTTTCTTTTGCATGTTTCTGTGTCCTTGTCTAGCTTCACTGTGGTTAACGCTCTTTTACTTTGAGTACACACAAGCTACTATTCAAGTACATTCATATCACTGCACAACTACTGACATAGAATATAATTCTGTGGTATTGGTTTGGTTTCTTTTATACCCCCAAAAGCTGGTATTTGTGCAGTCTAATCTTCAAGCTCTTTGCATGAAGCCACACTTACTATCTGCACCCTTGCTTTCTAGAACAGCATTTCTGGTTCTTACAAAATCCTTCTCCGCATTTTTGTGTTTGTTTTACTTCTCAATTTGCAGTTTGAGTTTTGGCAGCTAAATACATCAAAGTGACATTTGTAAAGACAGCTATATACGTCAGTCTAAGAAAATTCAAATGAGCAATCCACCACAAGTATGCATTCATTAGCACTATTTACTATGAGATCATCCAGCAGCAAAGATCCCTTGGTGTGACTGTTCTCCCCTCACTCATAACTCCTCAAAACACTGAAGGAACTCTCTGAACTTGCAGCCTGAGTTTCCTGGTTCGATGAAAATCACACGCATTCATTTGGGCCACAATACAGTAAATCAGCTTTCTAATCCAGCAACACACGTTTTCCGCATCACTCTCCAAACCCTACCTTTGTCAGTTATCTTTTAAGTGCAAAGAACGGAATGTAAACTTCTCATTACCTGTTTAACTCCAAAATATCAGACCGCTAAAAATTATTACTAGCTAACTGACCTTAAGATATGACCATCTCACTGTTTATTCCATAGCTACTAATCACATTCCAAGTTAGTTTGCTCTGTGCCCTTTGACATTTACAACTATCTGGTGAAAGCTTTAAAAGGCCTTTTCCTTCTTGGAATTACAGTTTTTCAGTATAATCTACAAGAAAAGCTGAACAATGGAGAGACTATCAATATTTGAATTTTCCAATTCATCCTGCTCAGCAGTGAGTATTAATCACCCCGTAATTTTCCTGCCTAACATGCAACAATCAGGATCAAACTGAGAAACACGTTCCAAGACACTTAACGCGGCAAGTTGCAGCAGACCTGTGAGAGCAATAAAAACAACTTTTGGATGCATTCCTTTACCTCTCAGGATGTAGTTCTGATAATTCTGGTCGGCCTCTGCTCCCACTTTGATTAAGCAAGTCAGACCTTCAGCGACAACAAACTCATGAACCAGGTCCTTGTCATCCTGCCACAGAAGAAAGGAAAAGCTGTGTTAGAATTTTGAAAAGCAAAGAAACAGGATATATCATAATGTAAAAACAAATGCATGCCTGCAACACTGACTTTACATTTCAGATGATGTAAGCAAGTTGATATGAAAGTTGTTATATAGAAGACCAGAAGCGGAATTCTGAATTTTAAAATCAGAATTAAATACATCAATGCAAAGCAAGAAAAAACAAGCCTTTACCTTTAGGTCAACTACAGAAGATTAAAATTAGTAAAATATGACTTTTGATTTTTTTTTTTTCATTAAAGGCTTGCAGACATTTTTCCCGATACTATAATCTCATCATACCACATAAACAGATATCCTTAAAGCCTTTAAGTGTCAAGAGAAACAAGAGAAGGTCGTCTCTATGCCTTAGCATAATTCCAGTTTCAGTATTTTAAGTGCATACAGCAAAACTTTAAAACTCGCATTTATTGCAATGTAATACTATATTCATTATCTTAACATAATATTAATTCATTATATTTAGAATGGGAAAGTATAGTGTTGAATATAAGAACACCAATAGATAATATTCCCACACTGTTATGGAAAACACAGCAAACACAAGAGAAAATACTCCTTAGTATTTCATGGGAATTTATACTTGTTAAAGTGACATGCTTTTTTTTTTAACCATCAGTCCTTTACTCAGTGCAGCAGAATGATCCCGTATCACAGGTATATGTGATACCAGGGAGAGGAGGGCTTTGCTGGGCGCTATATGCACTACTACGCCAGGGGACTATAGAGCATCGTATCTAAAGCTTGCCTTCTCCTTTTAGAGAAGGCTCATGTAGACAAACAGGAGGCTACTAAAATCTTCATCAGAGAGCACTTAATGAATTAACCATACAAATTAGGCACAAAATCAATTTAAAATATTAATGGAAGACAACTACTCTGTGGACAATCATAGTTGATGATTACCTTCTTTGAGTATTTTTAATATACATTTTCATCCACAACAGCGTATTAAATAGAATTTTCAGATTTCCAGTAATGCAGCCCTGAGAAGCCAAGATCCAGACAATAGATAGTTAAGAGTGACTTCCGAATTCACTGCAAACACTTAGAAAACTGCCAAAGGAAATAAAATAATCAAGCCCCTTTTAGTGTGACAATTCGCTTACTGCAAATTTCTTTCAGCCTGACAGTTTATTTCTTATGAATTTCCTTCTCTCACCAGAGCTAAGTTACTTAATTCTTAAAAGCTGGCCAAATGTGATATTTAAAATTCTAAGGTGATCTAGCAATTCGTAACAAATTTAGAAATTATGAGAAAAAGTTTGTTAAAACAATTTAAATATGTATTCTACAGTCATGTATAGATACGCAAATCTATCACATCATAAAGGTGATTTATCCTTTAAAAAGTATATAAAGAGGAAGCATACAATCATTCCCCACATCTTTGCAAAAAAGTGTATCGTAAAACCCCAAAACACATGACAGAAAATCCAGTACCATGGCACACTTGAGCTAAAAATGTTATTTATTTCTTAGTCTCAATATTTTCTTTTTTGAGGGTGTTATTTTTTTCTGTAGATAGATAAAATCCTTAATAGTGTTTTCTGCAGAGCTAGAAAGTTTACAAACTCCCATGTCGTACCAGGGCCCTACAGACGCAAACACATGATTTTATGAAGATGACAAATTTCCTCTATCCGTTTGCCATACTCAAAAGATGGTAGAGGAAGAGTACACTGACAATATACCTGTTAATACAGACAGCGCTAATTACATCCCGATTTCCTCTGTTTTAAAGGTGCATGCACAGATCCCCCTCCGCTGCAGCCCACCAAGGAATTTGCTTTGCCGTTCCAGAAGAGAACTGAAGAGTTAAGGCTGTTTATATTGATCACCTACGGACATCTTTACAGCAGGGGACCTCTGGCTGGCAGGGAGGTTGCTGTATGTTTGGCCAAGCCACCCATCTAAAGAGCGTGGGATGGGGGCCTAGGAAGGGGCACGGTCAGCCAGGGCACATGCAACTCTGCCTGTCCCATCCCGAGCAGTGGCCTCTGGCAAAGCCCTTCCCAAACGCCACCAGTCAGAGGACTGAACTCTTAATTTTGAAGCAATTGATCTCAAGTTAATTTGTGCAGCAAGCAATGCCGAAATTCCCATGGTGACCTTCCAGAACAACATTTTACAACAAATGGAGTCCTCAAAAAACAAGAAAGCACCCAAGATAAAATACTTTCTGATGATCAAACCCACATCTCAAGTTAATTCCCCCCAAACTTGGGGTACTTCATTTAAAATCAAGCAACTACAAATAAATACATAAAAAAATATGCATGCACGCAATATACAGATCTAGATCACACTGGACAGCAAGCAACGTTCAAGCTCACATTGTACGATGGAGTGCCACCTCCAGAACCATACCCAGGAACCCCAGAGAAGTCTCCTCCCTGGCCACCCCTTGGAGGCAGGCAACTACTCCCTCCCACACAGAGAATCATAAAACCATAGAATAGTTTGTGTTGGAAGGTACCTTTAAAGGTCATCTAGTCCAACTCCCCTGCAACGAGCAGGGACATCTGCAACTAGATGAGGTTGCTCAGAGCCCCATCCAACAAGACCTTGAATGTTTCAACATCCCTTTGTATATGGTGTTTTTAGTTCAAAGAAACTTGAGTAATTTCTTGTTCTTCAAGAATTTTGAATCTTTCTTCTTCTAAAACTCAAGAGAGAGGAAGATATCCCTGGAATTCATCAGCTAAGCTAAAAGAAAAGTTTATTCAAGGTTCAGGTAAACTAAGGCCACATGCCACGGTAATTCACAAGAACTTCGCACGCCTAGAAAGTAAGTTACTTTGCTTTTCAAGGGTAAATGGTTAAAAATTCCCTGCTACTGAATAAAGAAGGTAGCAAACTTCCCCTACCCAGAATGGGCAGTGGTGGGAGCAAGGTAAGGGACAGGATGGACAGGAGTACGCAGAATTTAGAAAAACTAACAGAACTTGGTAGCATAGTGCAGAATCAAGAAAGCTGTGGGCAAAACATCCTCAAAAATAGGTTTTCTACAAATCTGATGACAAATAGATGCATCTTTTATCGGACAACACCGTTGTATAATTTAAGAGAAACAAGATATATAACAATATAAACTACTGAGTGAAATAATGACAATTCTTTTTTCAGATGATAATGGTGTCCTAGCTCTGAGCACACTTCCTTGCTCTTTAAATACCTTTTGTTGATACTTGAGTAGACATTTTGATTTTTCATCAAGTGTGCTTGCATCATCCTTGAGTTGAGAAAAAAAATAATCTATTCTGGATTGACTCACAGTCAAATAAGCAGGACTGGAAAAAACAGGAAAAAGGAATAACTGGTCTGCGGATTCTGATGTTTGTTAATAGACCTAACGTGCCTGTTTATGAAAATAAAAGACAATTGGATGATACAAAAAAATATTCCCTATGCTGGAGAAGCTAACAGTAGTTCAGCTTCAGAGACCTTCAGGTCAAACTCAAAAACTAAATAAAATTCTAAACAGCACACAGCCATTAAGGGCTGTTGACATTCAGTGAAAGATAAAAACTGAAATAATACCAATTATAACTTTAAGATGTTCCCCATAATCTTAAATAGTGAATGCATATTACAGTATCGCCTGGGGAAAAAATAGCATTTATGTCTCAAAGTATCTCATGCTAAAGATCTGTTTTATATTGGCGCCTTTTTTTTAAAAAAAAAAAAACAAAAAAACAAAAAAACCCAACCAACCAAAACCAAAACCAAACAAAGACCTTCCCAAAGCAAATTCTGAGATCTGCATTTTGAAACTTTTTCAAAGCAGCCAAAGGAGTAAACCACTACAGCATAGTCTCATCCTTGACTGAAAGGAGATATATTACTGGAGAACAGCAAAGGAAATGAAGGGGATGAGGGACTCGAACCAGACCGCTTTTGGAAAGCACTGAATAAACAAATCAAACCTGAATTTAAAAAAAAGCTTTTAAGGTACTTCTCCTTTCCCAAATAAAAGGGAAAAAGAAGGTGTAATGAAGCGGAGTACAAACACATCATGCTCTAGACATAAATCTGACCTCAGTACATTATCTATCCCATCATGTATATACGATGAGAGGAAAGAAGCAAACATCTGGAATGTGCAAAGAAAGATGAAAGGCATCCAAGCCCATACGTTCTACATTGAAAGGAGAATGTTTACATCAATTTTGGTCTAGGATAATCTTTTCAGACCCATTAACTCACTGACTTGCCAAGTTAGGTGACCTCAAGAGTAAAGGCTACTCTCCAGCAGTAGTAAGAGGTTCAGGTTTCCAGGAAGAGAGCATTCATTGTAGAGAATATATGGTGTCTGTGACAATGATACATACAAGTAGCTGCCACATGCATGTGATAACAGTTAGAAGGAGGCAGGGAAAGGTTGTCATTTGCCATGGAAATGGACTCCTCCACTAATATCACAAAGATTTATGACCCCCTAATCAGCAGGCATTAAGGCACTGATGAGAAAAGCAGCAAAACACAGGCAAAGCTCTCTAAAGCTTCCTGCTAAGCTCCTGCAACTATAAAGATTGTGCAGTGACACAAAGGCTGGCTACTTAAAGTCTTTATGAAAAGATACCATTGGCCTCGCCAGATAACTATACTTTACGCGTTCATTCATAGACTTGGAATAGGTCATGTCTCTTCCTCTCTTTAGGCACCTCAGATGAAAGAAAAAACAAGATAATGTATGTCACTTTGTAATAGAGCTCTGTTTTTGTCGAATGTATAATGAAAAAGACATTAAATATATTCAAACTGGTGAGTTTAAAGCTTGCTTATGTGGTTGGCAAAAAGTACAAATCATACTTTCACCTCCATAACTCAGCCTCACTATTAAAGAGACCCCACAAACCCTGTGATCAAGCAGTCTATACAGTATGCTCATGGGCTACTAGCAGAATAAGAAGTGTAGGCAGGATTCCCACTTTTCCTACCCGTTC